TAATGGATCCTCTGTATTTTGTTTAGTCAAGGCTCTCTGCACTGTATCCTCCCAAACTATGCAGACTTTCCCTGCCAAAATGAAGTCAAATGCTGGTCTGATTTATACCTGAAGATACTTAAAGCAATTTCCACAATCATAAAAAAGTTTTGTTCTTTGTATGAAGAATTCTGCCCAGAAAATGTAATGTTTCTTATGAGGAGAGAAATGGGAAGGCAACAAAGAGAAACAAAAGATTTCTTTGCTCTCCAAAATGTTCAGCTGGCTCCATCAGCTTTACATGATTTTCAAAAACCAGCCTTCTTAAAGCTTAAACTCAAAGCCCTTGGTCACTTAAGTGCCTGCAAATATATTTCCCTCTAATAATGCCTTCAACACAGCCTGCTGAAGCGGACACAAGCAAAACCACTGATACAGCTCTTCTAATGAAACAGCTCTGGTTGAACTTGAGAAGCACAGTCTGAGAAACTGGTGTAGTATAGAGCAGGGACGCATCAGTCAGATGGCATCACAGTGCTTTATTTTGTCCAATGCAGGCATACTTTGCAAGTATCATTCTTAGGCATGACTAAGTTTCCGGTTTGCCTGTATGGACTGCACTAGAGCAGAGTCAGTGTTAGTCATCCCCTGTGTTGCATCGCTGTGGCCAGCTCTGCATGGTACAGTAAAGATGACGACAGGTGAGAGCAAACAAAATAGTCTGGGGGAGATGGAACCAAATCCAATGGACTAATAAAAGATAATGACTTATTTTTCAGTCTTAGAAAGTAAGTTTTAGTCATGTATTTTCAAATAGTTGCATTTATAGAGGAACTCCACCACCTTCCTGGGCAGCCTGTCCTAACACCTCACTCTTCCCGAGATGTTTTTCCTAATATCCAACCTAAATCTCCCCCAGCACAACTTGAAGTCATTACATATTTTCCTGTCACCTGGGAAAAAAAGGCTAACCCTCACATCACTACAACCTCTTTCTCAGGTAGGAGTAGAGAGCTATAAGGTCTCTCCTGAGCCTCCTCTTATCCAGACTAAACAATCCCTGTTCCCTCAGCTGCTCCTCATACAATTTGTGTTCCAGACCCTTCACCAGCTTTGTTACTCTTCCTGGGACTCAATGTCTCTCTTATAGCAAGGGGCTCAAATCTGAACATAGTGCTTGAATTGCATCCTTGCCAGTGCTGAGTACAGAGGGATATAGTCTCTAATCCTGTTACACTATTTCTGTTACAAGCCAGGATGCCATTCACCTACCTGGCACACTGCTGACTCATGTTCAGCTGGCTGTCAACTAACACCTCCAGATTCTTCTTCTCTGTGCAGCTTTCCAGCTTGCCACTCTGCCCCAAACCTGTAGGAATGCATGGGGTTGTTGTAACCAAAATGCAGGACTCAGCACTTGGTCTGTTAAAGCTGACACAAAAAAATTGGCCTCGGTCCATTGATCCAGCCTGTCCGTATCCCTCTGAAGGGCCTTCCTGCCCTTAAGCACATCCACGCTCCTCCCAGCTTGGTGTCATCTGCATACTTACTGAGGATGCTCTCGTCCCTTTGTGCAGATCATCACTGAAGACAGTAAATAGGGCTGGCCCCAATACTGATCCCTGAGGAACGTCGCTCATGCTTGGTCACCAGCTGGGATTAACTCTGTTCATCACCACTCTCTGGGCCCAGCCATCCAATCAGTTTTTTACCCAGTGAAGAGTAGGGCCACAGATAAACAAGGCAAGTGGAAAAGAAGTGGGCAAAAAGTGTGGGAGGAAGGCAGGCAGGTTCTGCACTAGATTGGGGTTTTTGCTTGAGATCTGAGAATTATGCACGTTGATGTTTGTTTGCGTTAATTTGTTGTTACTTTAAGGAGGCAAGGCACAGTCCTCTGCTTTTAATTGTGATGCTGGTAGTTTGTTTGGCACTCTGAAGAGATAGGCCAAAAAATAAAAGTAAAAAAATCCACACTGTAAGATGCAGACATTGGGTGTAACATGATTCATTCATACACATACTGAAAAAAATCCAGTTTCAGGGTAAGTGGTCACAGAAAGGAAAAAGGAAATGAATACTAAAGTAAATATCACTTCCCCCCTCCCCCCCCATAGCAGAATGTTTACTGTACTTTAAATTGTCCAGTGGAATTTACGTGTGTGACATGAAAGAGGAGACATTTCCTTCAGAAGCAGCAGCAGCCAAAATATCAAGTACAAACTTCATGGGAGAAATCAACTCCAGAATGAGTTTACGAAACTGCTGAGAGGGATCTGCTTTTAATTTCCACAAATTTCTCACTTGTTACAGTGTTCTACTACCCATTGAGACTGTACTAGAGTTCACAGGAATGTATGATGAAAGAGTAGCTAATAGCAGAGAGGCTGCTGCTGAACGTGCTTCTCTCATAATAATTAGTGTAAAGTTATGCTACAGAGATTCCCAAACATATTCACACTTTTGAACGAGCGAGAAGGTACTTAGTATTTTTAATTTCTTTGGCCATGCTCAGCATGCTCACAAAAGGGGACACGAGTTTGAAAGTCTCCCTCAAAGACATCTTAGCAGTAGTCAAAGTTTGTCACTAACCAGTATGTTTATTTGATGAATTATAGGTGATTTTTTATACACGTTATAAAAACATAACTGGAACTACTGAAAGTCTTCAGTCCTCAATGCGTTTAATGAATTTATATATGCACATCTGACTTTTCTTGAAGGTGTGCAAGCATTAATTACTATTATTTTCCTCTCGGTTACTTAGTCCAGTGCTTCCAGTTTTGAAGCATACAACGGATCAGTGAAAGCAACGAAGAAATTCTGCAAATTACTTTCTGCCAAGAAAATCCTTCAGATGCCACGAGCACTAAGAATGTTATTATGATTTGATTGGGGCAACAGAGTAATAGAGATGCAAAAATAAGTTATTGAGAGGATATGCAAAGTAGATGAAGGGAGAGGTTTTGCTGAAAAAAATCACTGGAGATTAGATTTTGCACTAAGGTGGTGGCACAAACACTGCTGTGTCCGTGAGTTTGTGACGTAACTGGAGTTTATAGAAGGAAAAAGACTACAACCGTGTACACTAACCTGATAAATGTCCCAGCACACATGCAAAAAAAAAGTTTGATCAATTTCCGAATAGTCAGTGGGAGGTGGTGGTTTGGTTTTCCTCAGTACTGTGCCACATACGTATAGTTACCACATTCCGTGCTGTGGAGATAGGCCTGCTAGTAACTGCTTTCAAACCTGTAATTTTTAATCAGATTTGAGAGAAGCATGTTATACTTAATTTCTTTAAAGAAAGGTATTCCCTGAGTCCCAGGGTGGAGCTGAATCACATCTGACTCTGACACTGTCAGTGGTGTGACTCAAATATTCAGACCTAAAGGTAAGAGATTCTCGTGGTCCAAAAGCAAGTTTTTTTTTTTCCTGCACTGTGAAGAGCAACATGGAAGGTTCTGAATTATCCATCTGGTCTTATCACCAGGAAGGATATATTTATGTCTGGAAGTCTGCTCAGCACTCAGTTCCAACCAGTCCCTGTGAGTGCAGCACACTTCCTCACTGTCATTCCTTGAGAATATTTGAACCCAGGGCTACTCAGAAATGGAATATAGCTAAATGATATTGGATCATCTGATCAGTTAAACTTCTAAGGAGTTTGATATGAGTCTGGCACTTGCCTATGTAATGATTTTTCTTGCTACGAGTCAGAGTGACATTTTTGGAATTCATCTGGTAATCTGGTAAAGTTGCAGAGTTGTCTGGATACTTGTCATGTACATAGTGGATAAGGATGCCTTAATGCATATTTTTCCCATCTTTCTTCATAACCAGAATGCTTGGTACTCCTTTGTGCATCCTCAAGCCCTGACAGGAGTTACAATTTCCAGATACCTGGAGTCTGTTCAGAGCAACCTTCAGCAGTCTTGTGTATCAAGAGTTTGTACCAGAACAGTTTCTCCGTGTATCTCACGCATTCTTGTGAACTGTATTATGATGATTATATGTTTTTACCTCCAGGAAGTGGCTTAAAATATGCTCCTACTCTTTTTGTTCTTAAAAAAATGCCATCAGAAATCTATAGAAAGTATTCTCTGTTCCCAAGGTAAAGACACGAAGTTTCACCCCTTATCTAAACAGACAGCTTTCTCAGAAGTCTTATTACCTCCCGATACTATGAGAGCTTTGTATTCAAATCTAACATTAACAATTTAAAGGAAAAATGTTTTGATAACCTCTTTTTTTATGAGATACTTAACAGTCATTTTCTTTTGCAGGAGAAAGTTGTTTGTGGATAATTTTATAAGTTATTGCATATCACAACAGATGTACATTTTCAGGGTTTTCTTTTTCTGGCCAAAAAGACTATATCCTTCTTTTCTTCCCTTTTTTTGTCCCCCTTCCCCTCCTAGGCCTTCACACTGTTTGACATAAGGCATATTATTTGACCTGAAAGGAAGGGATGAATGGTTGACTGCAGTATTTAAATATACTGGGAAGAAGTGATAGATTTTGCAGCTTTTCTGCTGAGCGGTGTAGCGATTGGACAGACCAGTATGATGGGAAAAGGCATTTCATCAGAGGTGCAATGACAGAAGGATCAGCACAATAGAAAGATGCTATAAAGGAAAGGGATTACTTACCTGTATCAGAAGATTTCACATCCACCAAGGAAAGCTTCGCCAAGGAGAGATGTCCAAAGAGAGATCCTTCCCCAGTGGGGTGTAAGAGAGGTGCAGCCAGGCTCCACCCCTTCCTGTCACACAGCTGAATTGCCTTTCCCTGTGCTCCCAGGGCTGGCCCAGTCCTTTCCCCAGGTGCTCAATTCAGGCTGTGTCTCAACGGTTCCCATACAAGTGGAAAGTTTGAGCGTCAGGATTATCATCATTGCTCATAAACCAGTGCCACTATCTATCACGAATGTTTGAATAAGCTAATTGAAATAGGACACCATCTGTCCTTCCAAACTCAGAGGTACCTGGAAGATTCTACCTCTTCCTGCGTTGTCACCATTTGCCTTTTGATTTTGCAGAAGTCACAGTGTTTTTCACAGAGACAAACCTCTGCATATGGAAGGTAGGTAGCGCCGTATTCACAGATTGAATAAGAAAGCAGTCTTAAGAACAGCTGCACCAATAAGGTAATTTAGTTAGTCTGCTGCTCTTTCGTTCACAGGTAGCTGCAGGCCGGTGTTAACATTGGCGAGCCCTCTTGCTGTCTGTGTCACCAGGAAAAGCACAGGATTGTACTTGTGCTCCAAACTTCTGATTTTGCTTTTCTCTACCAAGTGCTTTTCACCTGAACTATTGTATTGGAAGTCTGCAACAAATTGAATTTCAGCATTGTAATGAATGCCCTGACCACAACAGTAAGTGGACTGCCAGAGGATTTCTAATTCTTGCTGCTGAAGACAGATGTTTGATTTTAAATCTCATAATCTTGCTATCTCTCCACCTGGGAGCTGTAGGTAGATAGCTGATCGCTATGATATTTCAGTCTGTAGGCAGAAATGGGAATAGGTTTGCTAGAGCACTGGTGGCTACTTGAGGGATTATCAGAAAAGAGCATCATGATATCAGATATACGTTGGTAAGAACATCAATTCTTTTGGCATCTTAGGTTTGTGTTTTTTTTTTTCTTTTCTGCAGAGGTTGGCAAACATTTTTAGGTCAGTGATCACAGCTTCTGTTAATTCTTTAACTGTTCAGGAACCTGGGAAATCAGTACTTGAGTCTGAACAGTGAATGATCTGAACTGGTATATGTGGGGGAATTGTTAGGTCACAACTTGAACTGGGGATTGAGCACCTGGACAGGGGACATAGGCTGGCTCCTGAGAAGGAGTGCTGCATGGCCAGAAACACCCTTCACCAGCTGGGTGCGTTCATCTCTTCTTCCTGTGTATGACTATTGGCCTAACTGTAAGTTCTGGTGTAACTAAGAACCTCTCAGAAGCAATTTTGTCTCTTTGTGAGCAGAAAAGAGCATAAACAGTATTGTAACAGAAGTGGTTCTTTGGCATCAACAGAAACCAGGAAGCATTTGAAAGTATTACAGCTGGGACCCAATAGTTAAAAATATGATACTTGGTCTCTAGATTCTTAAGGTCTAGCACAACTAAGACCTTGAGTTACTATGAAGAAGAGTTAGCAAATATCCAGGTACGTATTTCGTGTGATTTCTGTCTAGATCAGATGAGTTTCAGTAATTTTCATAATGAAGTAGTTGCCAGAATGCTTTAATGTTTCTATTTCAGAAGACTGAGAAAACCTAATGAATTTTTACAGGCAGAAGACACATTTTGTTGATTAATCAAAACCACCTTCACACCATCATGAAGAACTGGCTTACACTGAGTTGAGCAAGCAATCATTTTTACTCTAATTCTGGTGTATTTTTTTCACAGTCAAGTACAAGCTTTTTGCAAACCCAGATACCAGTGGAAGATGTACTTTTCTTTTTCTTGAAAAGAAAGCTAATTTGCAAGTAAATTACGAAGGAATTAAAATTACTGATGTTAAAATAAACCAAGAACATTGTGTCACTTGAGACTTATGCTTTTAGTTATTTGCAATTACAATTTGCTTTTATTGTTCAGTAATATATGGTAGGTCTCCCACATACTTTTGAAAATTCACCTAGTTTGATGGATATTTTGTCTCTTCACTAAATAAAAGAATAAGTAATATGAATAATGACAATATTAATGTGTGGGAAAAAAAACCAAAATCCATTGTAACTACTCTGGATGATAATTACAGGAAACAATGCCTTAAAGATGTTGCCAATCCACAACTGCCCCCTTTTACAAGTAAACAAAAGTACCTGCAGAAACTGAGAATCTGTTTATTTTACTCTGATTTCCACATTTCAAATACCACAAGTTTTTCTGGGCACAGTGTATACTTAGCATTTATACATCTATCTGTATGAACTGCAGTTACATGACATGGGAAGACCTACGTCTGGAGCTAACACGAATTGTTCAAGTCCAGGAGTCGTATCAAAAGCGAAGTGCTGTACTGTGTGTGTCCCTCAGCTCCATGCACATGAATTCTCAGTTCCTGCTGGGTGTAATTTTTCATCTGGAAAAATAAAATAATGTGAACTTTGATCCTTTGACTCAAGTTTGGAAAGGATTACTTTTGTTTAGGATCATGGCAATTTTGTTAAATCAGAGTATCAAAAACTTGCCCCACTTCTGCACCATTTAAGGCTATCTTTGAGGACAGCGCTTTGCCAGGGAGGAAAATAACATTAAATAGTGCAAGTCGGTCCCTAGGCAACTAATCCCCAAAGAACAGCATATGAAAACATCTGGAAGTAATTCTGGTGACATTGAGGTTGGCAGATAATGCAGCTGCGCTGTGCACCTTTACTGTGAATGGATAATTCACATCCTGTGAAGCTGTAGGCTGAAAACATTTCTTATCTATGTATTGGCACTATGATGTTGATTATTCCTTCTTTCCATGCTGTGTAAGATGACATAAAACGGGACCCATTTTGACTAAGATGGCCTAGACGCTGTTTTGGACTTGCTTAGCTTTTCTAGACCTCTCTATGTTCAAGAAAGCATTTGAAATAAAGCAGGTGAATGCCTGTGTGTAATGAATTCATTGAACTGGAAGGTTTATGGCACATTAGAACACAAGTGAATAAAATGCTAAATACAATGTAGTTTTCCAGGTGAGCTGCTTTGATTATATCCAATATTTACTATAAATACAGTTGGTAAGCTCCTGACGGTAGCTGATGCATCCCTCCAGACAATCCAAACAAGACCTCCATATACTCTAGCCAAATGTCTAGTACAAACACACTTGCTCAAGATGCCAGATACTACTGCTTTTAATCATAGATGTGAAAAACTTAATATTTTATTTAAAACACCGTGAATATGCCACTTCGTATTGGAAGACCACCTGAGGAATGGAAGAAAACTCCCTCTCCAAGCAAGGAAGAGAAGATTGTTATCGGTAGAAGTCAACATGGATTCAGCAAGGGGAAGTCATGCTTGATCAACCTGTAGCTTTCTGTGATGTCATCACTGGCTGAGTAGATGGGAGAGAATGGTGGATACCATTCTCAACAAGAGCAAGAGAAGAGCCTTGCACCTGGGGAGGAGTGACCGCATGTATCGATCCAAAGATCTGCTGGAGAAATCTTTGCAGAGAAGGACCTGGCTGTTCTGATTGGCAACAAGTTGTCTGTGGGCCAGCAGTGTGCCTTTGTGGACAAGAAGGCTGTCCTGGGATACCTTAAAAAGAACGTGGCCAACAGGTTGAGGAAGGTGATCTTCCCCTGCTCCTCTGCCCTGCTGAGTCCACATCTGGAATACTGACTCCAGTTTGGGGCTCCCTGGTTCAAAAAAGACAAGGAATCTCCTAGAATGAGTCCTGTGTAGGGTAACAAAGATTATTAAGGGCCTGAAGCATCTCCCTTATGAGGAAGGGCTGAGACCTGGAACTCCTCAGTCTGAAGAAGAGACACCTGAGAGGGAATCACGTAACTGCTTATGAAAGTGTGGGAGTCAAGTTGATGAGACTCTTTTTGGTGGTGAGCAACAGTAGAACAAGGGGAAATGGGCAGAAACTGGAAGACAGGAAGTTCCATGCTAATGCAATGAAGAACTTATTTCCTGTTAGAGTGATGGAGCACTGGAACAGACTGCCCAGACAGCTTACGGAGTCTCCTTCCCATGAGATTGTCAAGACCCCCGTGGACAGCCACCTCTGTGACCTGTTGTAGGGAGCCTGCTTTAGCAAGGAGGTTGTGCTCCATGATCTCCCTCCCAACTCCTGCAATTCTATGATTACTGCAACTTTTCCATCTTAACATCATTTCTTCTTCTTAATTGTAAGGTGTCTTTAATGCCTCCTTTTATGTTTCCTCTGAGCTGGGAATGTAATTTTCACAAATCATGCAAATAAACTGGATAATATGCTAGTGCCCAACTACTTTATATGAGGAAGCTGGCCTGACAGGTAAGAGAGCTTGTATGATCTGCTTTGAGGACACGGGATAGTTTTTGGTTTTGTTTGTCGTCTGTGACATTTCTGCCCTTGAAAACAGCTGATACTACTGGTAAGTAGTAGGACCAAAGCAGCTGTGCTAAACTCTGACTGCACTAGGTGGCATCATCCACGTGAGCATCAGAGTGTATGCACACTTGGTGTGGGGGAGTGCTGAGGCTGCTGCCTTACAAGGTGGAATTTTTTCTTGTCATTGAAGTGTTTGTTAATTACTGATGTCATTCCATTGGTGTTCAGTGGCACCAAGAACAAATTGCTTCTCTGCTTCCAAAGATAAGGAATTTGTTGGGGAGAGGGAAAGAAAGGTTTTCTTAATAAATCTTCCAGTAACAGGATCCTAACAAGCATAGCTTCTGCTTTGGTTTAGCTTAGTTTAGGTTTTTGAAATGTCCTGCTTTTAAACTGGAAACTGCGTACCACAGCTTTCCAAAACTGAGTTAGGCTTATTGCTTCATTTCTGTGCAGCTGATGCATGGGTGGATTGAACTCCAGCGGTGCTGAGCAAATGTGAGTTTCCTTGTGTGCTCTTGGTGTTCATCAGTGAAAGTGCTTTATCTAAGTAGTTATATCTTCGGGTGTTAAAATTTGATCCTTCGAATAGAAGCAGAGAATCTTTGTAAGGTGAGGTTATTCTCCTGTCACTTTACAGAAGCACGTGTGTGTGCTCATCAAAGTACATGAGGTGCGCTCATTGCGTTTAGTTGTCTTTCTCTTCTGAGAGTCACTAATGGAGAATGCAAACTTTATGAAGCAAGTTTTTAAAGCAGTCCATAAGCAATTGAGAAGACTTTAACCCCTGTTTAGGTTATATGAAGAAATCAAACACAGAAACGGAATGCACGGTGTCTGTAGCATGCCTAGCCTCGTTTGCTATGAAGAACAAAGCAGCAGAAATATTTACAAAAATGTTTTCTGCAGATAGCAATCTTCTACTCGGAATAAAGCGAGCAATGCATCAAAATAGACTAACAGCAAGAAAAACAAGTAGCCAGTTACTTCTAGCTGGATATGTTATTTCATAGCACTCTCACAAGAAACTAAGAACAATTCAGCAGTAGTCTTGTGGAACTGAAATCAGTTCTCTTCACAATACCTCCATAGGGAATCATTATATTTTGGAAGTGGAAATAGGTGCCCTGAAAGACTTCAGTTGCCTATATTTTTGCATGTCTGCAGTTGAAGATATATATGCAGTGAGATTTCCTAAACATTTGTCTTGCTTTTAGCAGAAGTTAGGTTTATACATGCTATTACAAGTAGCATACAAACTTCTGTTTGCAAGTTGAAATAGATGAATTCTAATTCATTTCATTTAATTCTAATTCATTCTAATAAATTTATTAAATTTAATTAATTTATTAAACCTAATTCATTTATTAAACCATTTTTCATGTCATCTGTTTGTGTGTCCCCCTGCAGCCCCACCCCACCCCCCAGTTTTTAATCCTAAATTTTCTAAAGGCCAAATAACATTTCCTACTTAAAAAAGAACAAAAAACAACCTTACAAAAAACTTCTTGCTGGATTTTTCTCATTGATTTTTCTAGGCACTTTCATTCCTGAGCTTTGCTTCTTAGATATTTCACTTCTCATGGATTTTTTTTTTCTTATTTGTTCACTTGTATTTCTCTTTCCCTGTGCATTTTTGTTCAATGTTTTCTTTTGAAATTTCCTTACTTCTATTTTCTGTCTGGTTTATCCCATGAGCTTTACTTTTGAGAATCATGAGTGACGCCACACAAAACGTGGCAGAAAATGTTCAGCTTAACATCAAAGACTGAAAAGCAAATTGGAACACACACACAAAAGAAAATATCACTGATGTGAAGAAGGTCGGGGTGTACTTCCCATATTATTACACAAAGTGTAATGGATGTACTTACTGGTGCGTTTGGTGAATCAGTTTAATACCTGTAGCTGCCTTTTTACAGTTATGGTTTTTGCAAGAAAACTCTATTCCTGTTCTTGGTATTCACTTAGATGCAATAGGCTTAAGTAAGGCTGCTCTGTCTTACAGAAAATTACACCCAAACAAACGGATAACAAGTGTTACAAATCTGAATCACTGATAGTGCTCTGCTGTTTCTCATTTTGAAGGAAAGAAGGAAAGAGAAAAGCTGGCTGATCTTCCGGGATACTGAGGACCCCCGGCCCTCCACAACTCAAATACAGCAAACAGACTGAGCAGCTTCTGGAAAACAGAAGGACTGTTATTAGAGTAGCTTAAGTTAGGCCATTGGTTTTCAAATCTTAATCTGAAAGAGTGAGCTACAAATTACATAGAAAACCTGGGAGAGCAGTCATTCAGATCAGGGATTTTTCCAACCTTCAATTACAGTACAGAATGTGCTCCAGCCTGCAGGGAGACCTCAGTGTGGCCTTCCAGTGCTTGAAGAGAGCGTATAAA